AATCAGTTGTAGTAATATGGTGTACACGGATTATCAAATAACGTCAACATAATCTTTATTTAAAGCTGAATCTCTAGCTTCATTTGATTTTTCCAAGGTCATCATAAATGTTTGTACAGCGGTAGTTTTGTAATTGCAAACAAACGCTTAACTGTTGTAACTACGTTAGTTGAGTTTGCTAAATACTCGGTAAACTTACTGTTTTCTGTGTAATGCCTTATCATTGTCTTCGTCCAACACTTAATAAATGTAAATCAGCTCATGCCACATAGGTTCAAAGATCCTCGCTTCCTTAATTTAGTAGGACCTAGATGTAGTTTATAGCAGTAGAATTCAGGAAAACTGGACCTGGTGCCTTTATAAAGTTGAGTCTATGTAACATGCCTCTACACGTTTTCAGATTATGAAACACTAGTATATCTTACTTACGCCTGATACCCATAGTGGAGCGTAAGCCCCGACTAGGACTCCAACAAATTCAGTCTTCAGCTTCCCTCTTCAGTTGTTACCAAATGTTATTCATTCCTTCGATGTCGACCTCCAATCCCCGACGCAACGTGTCCCTTGATCTGCCTCTTTTCTTCTGAATCCCTAGTTAAGGCTTGCCTCGTGGTCCAGCTTAATAATATCTCCTCAATATATGTCCTACCTACATCCAGCGTCTTTTCTTATTTCCTCTTCATTTGGAAGTTCGTTTGTTCTCTGTCAATAATCGGTTGTTGCTGATGGTATCCGTCCAACAAATATTAAGTATCTCGCTTAGACAATTGTTTATAAATACCTGTACTTTTTTGATTATGGTTGTAGTTGTTCTCCACGCAAATATACTTACTGATGTATGACTGTAGTGGCAAACAGTAACCGATAAGCAACAATTTACTTAATTGACTTTAAAGTCTTCTGATAATTCAATTAAATTACCTTAGTACACTACAGATAGCTGATTTCGATGGTTTTTTCTAGTCACGGCTTATAGCCATTCATCTGAATTACCTATATAATTGTTGTCACCTAACAATTTTTTCTTCTTTATGGATATCATCATTTTATTCGTCTGATTTCCCATGAATTTAATTCGTCATCTTGGGATTTTCTCATCGAATAAGGATCCACAGATATTATCGTTGTGTGTGGTAAGAACTCTGGCAATGATGTTAAATAAATACGTTCCTTGATAATGTTAAAATGTTTGAAATAAGTTTCTCGTTTTTTAGTTGCATAATGCGACCTAAGAACTGGTTTATAATTATTTTGGTGTGAAGCTAGAGAATAAATTATTAAAAGGGTTAGGAGTTACGTAGCCAAAGTGTCTCACCAATCTTATGAAGTTGGGTGATGAAATCTCTTCACGGATAGTATATATATATATATATATATATATATATATATATATATATATATATATAAAGTTCTTATGCATTTTAATTCATCTTCTAACCCAATGAACTTCTCGCTCAGTAACCGTTCAAAGGCTTGTATATAGGAAATTTTATGTAACCTTATCAATCCTGTTCACCTTGCATCGTGAAAATGCTAGAATATGATCACCAAATTTACGTGAAATGATTCGAAATTGGTATTAACAACTTCTTGTCTTGTCCTCAACTTAATATTATTCTATATTATCAATCTGTCTATCCCTTATTTCAAGTAACATATGTTAAAGGATTATTATTGTCATGATAGAATAAGATACATATCCAGTCCTGTCTAATTCTAGAAATTCTTTTTATTTGACTATTCTTAAAAACAACTTTAAGTTTAACTCGTAGGCTCCAATTCAGTCATCGTAAAAATGAAGCTTTTGGATCTTGTAAAAATGTACCTGTTTAATATATATATACTGTCATCCAACAGATGGTAAAATCCTCTCAAGAAAACATTTTTGGTAAGAAAAAAGTATAATTGGTTAAGTTGCAAGATATGGTAAGATGCTGCTTCTGACTAATCGAGCAAAATTATCTGAGAATAAGAGACACTATGCAGCTATCTAAACCGAAGTAAATAAAGCAGAGTTCTAGTCTGAGACTCAATGATTAGAGCTAATAGCACATCATCATTGCACAACTCTACAATGCAGAATTCTTTTAAATTCGTTGTCAAAAAAATAACGTTTTATGAGTACTAGCAGGTAAATAGTGCTAAAATACGTTGAAACATTAGTTCAATGTTACTTTATTTTAAATGTTAATCGTGGTGATATCTGCTTTTGATTAAAATCAACCTGAGTAACATTTGCATTTCGGTAGAAGTAAGTAGTTCAGACACAACAATATATAAGTGAATCTCCGAAATTTTCTCAAAGAATTGGTCATATATCATACAGTATTATTTTCTCATATTTCTTGTTGAGGTTCAAGCCTTCCCCTTATATCCAAATTCCATATTTTTTTATTATTTAAATACATATTAAAAATAGCTAGATCTGGTGCATTTTAAGTTAGTATAATTTATTATATTCGAGTAAATTTTAGCGGAATTAATCGCATTTTCTTTATAAGGTTGCTTTCAATGAATTTCAAAATTTTCCTGAATCCTCATTCAGGCCTCCGGTTTCCACTGCTTCATTCAATGATACTATCTCTAGTTTATGGTGCGAAAATCATTCAAGGTTGTCAAGTTTTTAAAAAAACTTATTGGCATAGAAAGATTAATCCTTACTATTTTCAAAATATTTAGTTATTCTGATTTTTACGGTTTTCTGTCTTTCAAGTTTTACTCTTGAAAGTCGTAATTATGTATATACTGAAATACCTATTTTTTTGAGTAACCCTGATTTGTATGTATCAAATATTTTCATCTAATAAATCCAGTTTTTAATTCTATTGAAACATCTACCATTGTATTTACTTGTAAATCATATCCATTGTTTTATTGCAATTGCTACAACTCAGTTGCTCATCATGAAGGATTTTTGTATATATAATTAAATGATTGATGTTAAAATGACTAGAATACTTTGATATTATCATTATAAGGCAGTTGCAGCAATCAGCAAGCCAAACTTATATATTCAATAATTCAAAATTTAAACAAATTTAAATGTCAACTAATATCAATTAAATATCTAATCTATTGTTCTTTCTGTTGATCGCTTGAAATATTGTAGTCAGATCTGTATGACCCATCTGATTGGTAAGTCTTATGGTACTTTTAGGTGTTAGTCTAAGAAAATTAATCTTCAAATATTTTTGAATGTTCAAATATTATCTTGGATATAATATGTAATATGTATGTTGATTATAGTAATACAAATCATCACCAACAACCGGAACTGAAAGAATTTAATATACTTTACAGTGATGCATCAATGACTTGTCAGCTCAGTTATGTTAACATTAGGTAGCTATTTCTTGTGTTAAGATCTTAGAATTATGATTGTTTTTCTTCTTGGTAAAAAGAAATTTTTACGTATACTGGATTATGGACCCTATCATTGTAATTTGATCATTTTATTGACCATCATCAGTTAGACTTAATTTAATCGTTCCTTCCAAGAAATAAATACATATTTTTTTAAACCTAAAGCATTGAATTTGTCGGTAATTATAATAGTATGTAGAATATATAGACTTTTCGTAAATTATAACCTTGAATACTGTGTTGTGTGCAATAACTGTATGACTTCATTTTCTTGTGTTGTAGATAGTTGATCTCTAACAACAAACTATGTAAACTAGGGATTTTTTGTTTGTTATTTTTATGAATTTTGTTTCTTTTTCTGTGTTTTGTATTAGTTAAGATGTAAGTGAATTGTTGCACATCCATTCACTAACTCACTAGCTGAGTGGTTGGATTTATAATTTGGAATAATATCTCATAAAATGATATGCATGTGGTAGACACGATAATAAAAATAGATTTATCTCTTCCGTTGTGGTCGATTACATGTTGTTCAGTCTGCAGTGATCTATTCTCGTTAACGTCCCAGCACAACACACTTTAAGATAAAATGGCAGAGTGTGTATGAAACTTCGATGAATCTCTTTAATCAATTATAGTTTACACTTTGTCAACACTAAATAATAACTTGATTGTCATTGGCTGGGATTCTGATTCTCTATTTTAATACCAGGTTGTAATTTAATAACCTTCAATAAGCTATTGAATGAACACATAGTTGTATGTACATAATAAGTGATCTGAAATATTCAACCATCTGTCTCCGGTCACCTCTATGTTAAGAAAATCTAAATTTTCCACATGGCTTTCTTGATAATCCTTTCTCTCAGTCGTACATTGTAATGCGTATCCGAATCAAAAACATAATTCTAGATATTTAAAGGTGCTTTTCATGCATTTTTACCCAAGAGACTTCTCATAACAGTACCGTTAATCTAACGAAGCTGTTCTTTCTAATAATAGATCAGTTGTGTGTTAGAGAAATATTGGTAGTGAACTATATAACGTAATATATTCACATAAAATATTAGCTGTCATAATAATGAACGTACCGTTACGCAAGAAATAGGGAATCCCTAATAGTTAGTATTGACTTATTTGTTTGATGTTTAATCCCTGTTCATTATTCTTACGATCAAACCATGTCGGAAATTAAATATCCATGTAAATTTCAAGTGTTCTCTGTGAGACCTGAAGGTCTACAGTTCGATCGTGGATCCACACATTTGAAGAGTTCCATAACATCTGTTTAGTGCTCCTTCGTTCTCAGTAGTGCTTTAGATGAGACCAATATATAGGTAGTACGACTTCTCAGTGTCCTTCACTACCACAATATTTTCACTCAAATATTTGCCATTGTTTAAGATCAATGTATTTTACACTGAGAATCCCACATTGTACCAAACATATAACTTTGAATAAGGCTATCATTTAGTTTGTATTTTCGCCAAACCAAATTCAAATTCATTAAGTCTACGCTTATTTACATAAGTAAGATATTTTTATCAAGTTTCCCAACTTTTACCGGGTTACGTTTCCAGGATGATAGGTGTCTAAAACTGTCCATTAGCTAATTTTATTTTTACTCTGATTATCAGAAAAACAAGATGCAGTTCATGACGATCCTGTGGAATCTCCAGATTTAGTTACTTCGAATTCGACAACAAACTTAACATTGTCATCATTGCGCACGTCAGATCTCAGAAATTCAGAATCAATTAATGGCTTGTCAGTTACTACATCAACGTCAAATGCTGAGTTAGATCTAAGAGATCTTGGGAAACAATTATCAATTGGTGTTACACGTGAGGTGGGTGTGTGGGGTAGTATAATTATGCTTATTTAGGGTTTTGTTGTAAATGGTATTTGTTTGTTCTCTCAGGAATTCTTGTTCTATCTAGCTAGTTCCCCAGAATTATAGAATCCTACCTATTATTTTAATTTGCAATTGTCGTTCGGTGGTTTAGTCATGCGAATTGTTAGATTTAAAATAATGCAGTAATCGTGAATCACAATCGGCTAAGCAATATTTTTTGTACATTTAGCTTAAGGTGAGTTCAGTGTAAGCATCGAGTAACATGGTTTTTGAACATACAGTACATACATACGTTAGCAGTATTTCTGCATTGCCCTGATATTGGGAAACCGCTGGATGGGTAATGTTCAATTCCAATCCAAGGCATGGTATCATCCCATGAAATCGTTGATTAGTAGGTGAAAACTTCCTAGTTAGTATCTACATGATGATCGTAATGAATGAAGAAGTGTCGTGATATGGTTCAAAATCAGTGTCATTGACCTAATTGTTTACACTATTTGCCTTAAGTTTCAATTTCTTTTTGTACGTATTTTATCCCACTAATTATTCCTTCTTCTCAAACTGTACTCTATATGTGTAGTCCTTTTTCACTATCTTAGATGATATTATTACTTCGACTTCTTTGCTGCAAATCCTATTAATTTCATCTCGTTATTTGGCCCTGTGGCGATTGGAGTCAGATGCTACTTTGTTTACAACTAGTTGATTGGTTAAAGTATCATGTAATGCACCTTATACCATAGTGTTTCAAAATAATTGAAATACAAAAGAATAAACAAATGAAAAATAAAACCATATTCTCAAAGAGAGAAATAGTCGAATAAACTATATTCACAAAGCCCTCTTCAATATAAGTAGGGGATAAAAAGCCCCCACACCGGTAGGGGGCTCCTGTCATTCAACTAATGAACATATACTTAGTGATCAAGATTCATAGTATTAATTGTTCGGTTATCGTGTTATTAGATGGGAAATTCAGTGATAATTAATGTAACACGTCTTTAGTAGATCGTAAAGTATTAAATTTAATATCTGGTAATTTCGGACTACTTTGCTGTGATTAATTACCACTAATAACAAATAGCTATCCATTACTTATTTTTATAAGATAGTGAATTGATGAATCAGTCTATGCTGGTATAAACCGTTAATTGATAACTCATAAATTTTTACCGAACCAATATCAAAGGTTCTCCTACTACTTACAAACTCAATTGCACACGTATTTCAATGTTATATAAAATAAACATATTTAAAAGTTTATTTAGTAAATAACCAGTTATAAATCAAAAGACCATGAAAAGCTACAGATTGATCAATCGATTTAGTATCTAAATGTAAAGCTTAATTTATGACTACTATGTCATAACTTTATTTATCTCTTAGTACCTGATTGATTTATACTGAATCATAATAACATGTAACTTTCGCGCTCATTCCCTTTTGACAATGAACCGAATAATTTATAAATTTATTTACCACAAATCCAATTTCATCTATTATTTAAATTTGTTTTAGCAGGGAGGATTTGTAGATTAATATATTTTGGAGAAGCTTCAGTTTTATATAACACTAAAATATAAATTGTAATATTTTCTTGTTTTTTGATTTCCTTAATTAATAATGGATTGTTTAATCACAGTGAAGGTAAAGTAAATGAATGATAAATTATGTAATATCTGAATATTGTTACAGAATAAATTTCTATATTAGTTAATATAGTAATATTAAGGATCCATATGTAGTTATTAGGGTAAATCACAAAATCATTAGTACTTGGGACCAACACTGTTTATACAACATATAATAATTATTATCTTAAATCAATATTATTGTAAATACTTCACTTGTGTATTTTTTTTATTTCGCACTACATATCTATTTAACGTTTCCCAGGTAAAACTGTCTGCTTATTTTCAATTCCGTTGCTGTACACTAACACATTATTATCAGAAATTATTTGAATTAAAGTTAGTATTCTAGTAGTGTAGTACTGAATCTAACTAATACATACTTGATATTTTTTCACTTGTTTTGTACATTTTAATCTTAACATTCAGGCAGTATAAATTTCACAGTATTTTGTCATTGAATGACTAAAATCAACATACTATACGAATTTACTTGATATAAATTGTTAGTTATAATAAGTCGATTGATGTGATATATTGGCAAAGAACGTCTGTTAAAGTAACTATTATTTATTTATTTATTTGAACACATAAATATTGGTACAAGAGTGCGCCAAATATATATGCGCCACACAAAACAATGAGAATTCGAAGAGAAAAAAAGGTAAGGAGCGTAAAGAAAGAGAACAATAACGAAGAGATTGGTGTAAGGTAGTGTAGTAATAATAATAGTAATAATGAGGGGACGGAAAGGTACAATCAGAAGAAATCTTTCAGTTAAGGGAGACACAACCACTTTTTATGAAGAAAGTAAAAGAAGGTTACAGCAGGATCGCCACTGGCTTCTATTCTGAGCCATATCTGATAACGTCTCTAGCCACTGTGTAGCACCATCTCTCGGACCTCAACCAGGGAGTCGTGAAGGACCAACACAAGATAGTCCTTTGCAGCTTTCCTTCATGCCATTACTCACACTCCCACCAGCACTTATACAGCTACCCAGGTGCACGGACTTCTCGACTACTTCTATCTGCTCACCATCCAGGGTGAGTACAGGATTAGAATTCTGCCAGTCTTGTAGAAGTACTTTGCACTTCGAAGGTGCAAAGCTCATACCATACCTACGGACACTGATTGCCAACTGATTAAGTGCGGATTGCATGCCTTGTGCATTCTCGCACAGTAAGACAATATCATCCGCATACTCAAGGTCGAGAAGTCTTTCTCCAGGCAACAGATCCACACCACCATTACTTACATCCATCAGAGCTGTTTCCAGAATGTCATCGATGGCAAAGTTGAAGAGGAATGGTGAGATTGGGCAACCCTGCCTAACCCCACTGCTCGAATGGAACAATGGAGAGAGGTGGTTGTATGCCCTCACTCTGCCTGAGGTGTTTTTATACAGGGCTTTTAGGATGTTAATAAACTTCTCAGGCACACCCTTCTTCAATAGACAATCCCAGAGAACAGTCCTATCCAACGAATCGAAGGCAGCCCTGATGTCAAGAAACACTACGATTGTTGGCCTTTGATAAGTATGGCGGTGTTCTAACATTTGGCGGAGGGTGAAGATATGATCAATACATCCTCGACCAGAACGAAACCCAGCCTGCTCCTCGCGAGTCAATCTTTCTCGGGTTTTGAACAACCTACGAAGTATGACGGAAGCCAATAGCTTGGACGCAATCGGAAGTAGACTTATCCCCCGATAGTTGTTACAGGAACGACGTGAACCCTTTTTAAAGATAGGGACAACTATCGACTCATTCCATGACGTTGGTACACTCTCTAGTTCCCAAACCTTTGTAAACAACGTCGTCAATTCCTTAGTCAAAAAGTCACCACCATCTTTAAAAAGAGCCGGAGGTAAGTCATCTGGGCCAGGTGATTTGTAACGCTTCAAGAGTTGGAGTTCCTTGCGGACTTCCTCCTCATTTGGTGGATCAGTCGTCACCGGCCATGGAGGGCAGGACAGTCTGACCGATGTTGCCGGAGCAGCAGGCCAGTTGAACTGCCCTTCGAAAAATTCTGCCCATCGTCCAAGACGTCGATGGATGTTAGTGATTGGCATCCCATCATCCTCGCAGATTGTTTCACTCACACCAGACTTCTTGCTGCCAGTGGCTCGGATGAGTTGGAAGAGCTTCCGGTAGTTACCAGATGCAGCTGCTGCTTCCAGCTCATTAGCACGCTCGACCACCAGGCTTCTCGGTCCTTACGCAAGCTTTGCCCAATTTCCTTACGTAACATCCTTCGTTTATGGTCAAACTCACGGTCACCCGGAGTAGACCGACGGGCTTCAATGAGTTGTAAGGAACCAGAAGAAACCCAGTGCTTAAAGCGGGACGTTTCGCAAACCCACAACTGACTGTTCCCGCCATTTTCATGGCGTCATGCAATTGCAACCAATGCTCATCTATACTTTTCGGTGGAGTGGTAGCTAGCCTAGAGGCTAGCTCGGTTCGATACTTACTTGCAACAGAAGTTGCAACCAGCTTGCTAACATCAATCCGTTGGTGGCGGTCACTTCGTTGTCCACTGAAAAGTAAGGTAAGATTGGCGCAGACCAAGGCATGGTCAGAGTCCAGATAGGTACTCCAAAAGGAGCGGCAGTCTTGTACACAACCACGCCAGCGGTAGCTGATCGCGATGTGATCAATCTGAGTCCAGGCTTGAGATGCAGAGGGAGGACGCCAGGTGGCACATCGGCGATGACTGTGCCGAAAGTTAGTGCTAGCCAGAAACAGGTTGTGGTCTGTGCAAAGTTGCAGTAGACGGTCCCCGTTATCTGACCTGCGACCAACGAGTCCCCATCGGCCACCTAAACGACTCTCTTCTGTGCCTAGACGCCCGACCTGAGCATTCAAGTCTCCGGCTAGTACTACAATATCTGTCGAACGCACTTTCTGGAGAAGAACAGATAACTGGTGGTAAAACTCATCCTTGATTGCATCCGGGCTGCAATCTGTCGGGGCATAGGCGGAGATGACGAAAAGACATCGTTTCTCACGCCGATTTCTTCTCACTTTGATGGAACTTTCTAATCTAACAGCACATAACCGACTGTTAATGGGGATCCAATCGACTAGTGCTGCCTCAGCTCTAGCGCTTAGTGCGACACCAACGCCAGCAAGACCAGACGAAGATGCCACAGGGTCCCCGGATAAGCGCACGTAAAACAAGCTTTTCGAAGCGACAGATGGAGATCGAATTTGTAGTACTTCACCAGAGTCTTGAATACGGGTCTCGGATAGACAGCAAACATCGATATTAAGACTTTCCAAAGACATAGCCAGCCCTATCTGTTGTCCAACCTGCATAAGTGTGCGAACGTTGAAGGCAGCCAGTTTGAATGGCGCACGTGGTTTCAGAAAAACTGCTTCAGTACTCATATTCAGTGGTAACATACAATTTTCAACCGGACAGTAACTCGAGAACGTTTAGATAGAGTCGAATTTCCAACAAAGACGAGCCGCTGTATAAGTATAAAAGAGGGTGAATGGTGTGGTAAATAATAATAGTAATAATAATCATTTGATTGTTAGTTGAAGCAAGTAAAGTAGTTTCCATAATTATGGGCAGTTCATCATATTTGTGTGTGGGCTGTGATACTGCCCGGGTGCCCAAACCGAAGCAGGTGGTTATCTTAGGGGGCCACACCCCGAGCCTCTGACCTAAAGGTTTAACCCACAAGGCAGTGGAGCATCGTAAGGAGATGCAGTCCCATGGTAGCCGGTGATCAACGATTGGTTCATACGCCATTTGTTCCCGCAGGATACTGGAGCTAGCCCATGTGCACCATTGGTTTGGGATCTGGTTAAAGCGCCGGACATTCGCTTTTCGTCCTCTCATTTTCGTAAACAACACCTCCCGCCACGAGAAGGCAATGAGTAGGACTTCCTTGGCAGAGGCTGTATACGCGTGGCCGTGTGAGAGTATTTCGAGAGGGAGAGCGGACTCTCCCCACTCTCGGCTATACTAGGGCATTTAGGGGCGTTGAAGTAACCATTCTAAATTCAGAAGAAAACTATGTAAACTTACTTGATAATTCATTGGTATAGCTAAGTACTTTTATTTAAATATATATACGTTCATAAAAATATGACATTAAACATTGCATTGCTTCCCCACTTTACGTGAACAACTTGTTCATTCATTTGAAGTAGCCAAGTTAATTTTTCTCACCATGATACCAGACAGAATACTTTTCAAATGCATATTTGATTTCATGTTGCATAATTTTTAAGTTACAACGCACTGGCCAATTTCAGTATTTAAAAAACATAGATTCATTTGGTATTGTTTTGAGTCCCGGAGTAAAAACCAACTCTGAGATGCAGGCACATCCAGCTGACGAGTCCCGAATAGGACGAAACGTGCGTCCTGGATTCCACTGCTATCCAACGACCATTTTTACTTAAAAAACTTATATCTGTCGTTGAGTAAAACACTGAATGAAATTACAAGTTTTCAGTTCACACGCTCTTTACTACTTATTCAGCAAATTTCCATCAAAACTCGGTCTAGAACATTGATGCCTGTAGTTATTTAATGGGCAATTTGGATATTGTTAAAATATTTTTATGTTTTTTAATGAATTTTGTTCACTGATTGACTAATTTGACTCGGTTTTGCAGATGCGATACAGTTCTTTTTTTTCTCAATTATGTCAGATGGCACGTGAAATTAAACTGGTAACTATTTATTTGTCTTTGGGTTGTCCAGACCGTATACGTTTTGAATATCAGTTTTTCTGCACTAATGATAAAGGATTACAGAAACCATTGAATTCATCGTACTCCGACTTACTAATATGTCCACCATTAGATCCAGATGGAGACGGTATAAGTAATGGTTTAAGGCGTCTTTTACATTTGAATGCCAGTGATTATTTACTTCATCGTGATTGGGTTGTAAGTTGACTTATTTCCATGCCCTTAATGATGTTTTTAAATATTATCATATATATCTGACTTGTTTCATATAGTTTTTACGAATAGATTGTCCATTTAAGCCAGCAAAACCAGTTTTATTTAGCGTAGTAAGATAATGTTACTGCTCTTTCTTTTTGAATTATTTTGTAAAATGAAGTAACGTGTGGAAAAGAATTAATTATTTCATTTCTTCACAATGTTCAGATTTTGAAAACGAATGCTTAAGTTAACTCCTGGTTTTGGTTGAATGGTCGGCTGTCATCAATAAACTTATTAATAATAAATTGTTTTAGTTAGTTACTCATCCTCCAACAAACTTACGTATAAATTGATTTAGATTATAATCTTAGATCTCTTTTAACCTATTTCATCATCTAATTTAATTCGTTTGTTTATGTAATTCAGTTATATTTAAATAACGTAATCTTCAATTTCAGTCTCGTCATCCTATTCGAAGCAACACGCCAGTCCCTACATCTTGTCATTCTTCTCAAGCTATTCCTAGCGTTAACATCTCAACAGTTGCTACAGTCACGGCAACTCAAAGCTGCACATCAACATTATTACCAAAAACATTAACTGGAAGTCATCTTTCACAGATATCCGAATTACCTATTATGGTTACAGCTCAACAACCTTCAACAGTGACTACCAGTATTTCAGCAAAGCAACCGACAGTTATGATGTATTCTCAGCCAAATACTATACAGGTTCTTATTAATGGACAGCCATCCATTTTCCAACTGAATTCCACCTTTTCAGCTTCAAATCCAATTATTTCTTCATTATTAACAACAAATAGTTTAATGAAGCCTCCAATAGCTTCAGTTCAAAGTCCAAAATTAGTCTTATTACAACAACCAGTTGGACAAAAAGTTAGTTTAAGTATGAAGCTTGTTTTTTTTATGTGAAAGCTTAACTGACAGAAGCCACAAATTATATAAGCAGATTTTTACAACACAATTTGAATCCTTGTTTTATCAATGAAGTTGTGACTAGTATTAGAGACGAATGACAGGAAGTTATGGACGGTCAAAGCAAAACGCGGCATCAGTCCTTCAAGTCACTAACTTCTAGTCTTAGTCATGTTGGTAGATGCAGACTACATGGTTGGGGTCCACGCAACTATCGTAACCAGTGGTTTGAGTCTGGGTGACATGGTTCAGAATCAATGGCGTAGGTGTATAAACTCTTTGTTTTCTCTTAAACCATGAGATTAAAATCAATTTATTCCTTTCTTTCTACGAACTAATTCTTTATCCCTGTATCCTTATATGCAATCTTTATTTATATATAATACTACCGTTGAAGTAACTGCTTCCATAAATTTTGTGTTCACCTTGTTGTGATAATGAGGTGTGACAACTTGAACCGATGCATATATATGCCTGATCTTACGTTGTACTTGACTGGTTGACTACTCAATAAACTATCAACATGTTGGACTTACCTAGTAAATTAGGCATCCATCTGTTCTTAGTTCGGACTTCACTAGATTCAATACGATCTGCACGAATTACTAACATCGATCGATACTGCTAGTAACAGAAGATTGCATTGTTTTATTATGCCTTTTGTAACAGTCCATTATGTTTACATATAATTGTTGTATAACTTAACTAAGCTGTAAATACTTAACAGCAAAGATTAAAATTCATACAATGTCAATTCCATATTCACTGTTTTTATAATGATGTGTGATCGATCACATGAATTTGTGATCCAGTGATGACCGTTCACGAAATTCTAGGTTTTACGCCAAACCCGAATAAATGAATATTAGGAAACAGAACAATCAGCCATTGAAGAAATTTGTATTTATCTTGTAAATTGATATTTATGACCAAAATATTCTTACACTATACATATGTATATGAACTGTACTTCCAATTTAGGGGTTTATTTCAATCATAGTGATCTGTGTGCAGTATTATTGTCACAGACACTAAATTCCCTTCAAATTCTTCCTGATTTCACTATTTGTGCACTAATATTTTCTTTTTCTAATGTATTTAGACACAAGTTCCTATTGTTGAACGACAATTAGACCATGAACGACAAGTAACTTCAACTGTAGCAATAAGTCAAGGACCATATATCCCATTACTACCGAAACAATCAGCTGTACCCACTCAATTCAGTGTAAAAACATCGACACCATTAACAGGCACTTTTGTATCGTCTAGTTCTATTCCTTCAACGTCCACATGTATGATTGAGAATGAAAATAATTCACCTGTAACTTCATCGTTAGAATCGTTAAAGGCATTTAATGCACGACGTCGAACTAGTATTATATCACAAGTCAACAAACGTTTAACTGAAAATTCGATTCTAACTAAAGAATTACAATCAAAACCATCAACAATTACATCTATTTCAAACAATTTACCTCCATCATACAATACTTCAGCAAATCCTTGTACGACTAAATCTTCAGTTCAATCACTTCAGGTAAGCGTTCCTTTTAAAGTGACTTTTATGTTATGTTGAGGTTTTCGGTTCCACGAAAGTGACTAGTAACTTTGATATAATTTTAATCACGAACTGATTTTAGTTGTAAGACAACTGGATATCGATTATTACGCCTTAAATTAATCACTATTAGACATCGTTAACTTGTTTGATAGTATGATATTTCGAATAACGACTAAGGCTGATATTTAAAATGCACATCCCATTCGTAACTTCTGAGTTGTCTGTGTACCATTTAACTAATCATGTATTGTTACAGTTTATAGTAAGAAACTGTTCAGTAGATACTTTGATAAGTGATCATTATCCTCGGTGGGTAACTGCGTCATACCTCACACAGTTGATCTCCACTGGTCATAGCTTCTCACTAGAACTGAAAATTACCTCTCGAAGCCAGCCACCATTAAGCACATGATAATTATCATAATAGGATTGTGTAGATTGTTGAATTTCATTGAAGTCATGAACCTATGAATGTTAGACCACCATTGGAAACCCAAAAGCACTGCACAGCCATTTCATCCTAGTACGAGACACTTTGGTAGTGCGCATTCACAATCCCGCACGCGGGACTCAAACTCAGTACCTTCGGTTTCGTGCGAACGTGAAGTTGGTTGCTCAATATCGTGGACTTGTTGAAATATTGGATCCCGGCTCAGTGTTCTAAAGGTTGAGCGTCCACGCGAGACTGGAGGTACTTGGTCCGAGTCCCGCGTGCGGGATTGTGGATATGCACTACCAAAGAGTCTCATACTCGAACGAAACGGCTATGCAGTGCTTCTAGGTTTTCAATTGTGGTCTAACATTAATCAATTCATGATTTCAATGAAATTCAACAAACTTCACAACCCTATACTGGTAAATAATTTTTACTGTATTCATCTATATGTACATATATGATCAAATTTACAGGCAATCGATAATCAAACTTTGACAACAATCAAAGGTGATGAAGCATCTGTTAATAATATACATTCTAAATCAATAACACTTTCAACACCATCAAATTCTAATAATTTATGGTCATCCATTAATGTATCGAATAATGAACCGATGGTAACAACATCAATTGTTTTCAATGATCAGTTACCTCAAGTTCATAGCATATCGAGCTTATTATCATCTTCACCAAATTTATCATCATTACAATCTAATAATGTAATGTCTTTTATTTCATTATCTAAAAATTCTTCTAATACAGATGTTAATATGGATGATCTATTGTTAGTCTCAACAGAGACAAATCAATGCTCTATGTCATCATCATCGTTCAGTAATGATACACTGGCATCCCTGTTAAATACACTATGTCCACGTTGTCCTTTATCTTCTACTCATGATAATCAAAATATATTAACTGAATCATCTGCTCGACCTACTGATAGTACTCTATCTCCATTAAATGAATTATCAACGCCAGATTTACATAAAACAACATTCTCTACACCTACAACTAATGATGTAAATGTTTCACTTAAAATAGAAGAGAATGCTGAAAAATCATTTGACTTTAGAACAGTTGATTCTGTTTGTAGTTATCCACCAGTTTCTCCATCGATTGGTGATATTTCATTTACTGATTCAATGGCTGGTAAGTGAAAGTTCACTCATATTAGCTATGGTTTGTAAAGTAGTGTCATACAAATTAACGATATAGTTATGACAAAAATCAAAACTTCTATGACTGAGTTACCAAGTTTATATATTCCTGTCAGTAAATAATCCTTTATTTGATAAAGTTTACTAGATATCCTTAATATAAGTGGTTATAGGGTTCGGTTTTATATCATTGGCTTACAGAGTTAAACTATGTGACACCTACTTTGATTTGATAAGTTGAGTAGTATCACTAGCCCTCCTATAGAATATCTTGTCTAAAGCTAAATGCATAAATCCGTACTTCTTAAATGAATTAGACCGAAAAATAGAACAACTACTGGATATATTTCACTGTGATTAGGTAGAGAATGATTCTATCATTTCAACTAATTAAATTTTTTCTTATAGATTAATAACCTATTACTGTAAAATATATTTATATCTATGTACTTGTATGAAGCAAGTATGTCTCGATTATTTTATTGAATGTTATCGGTAGAATCCTTTCATTTGTACAATTTCATCGGTGATTTTTCTGGTTTACGTGATGCGATGATTTTACAATCTTGACTAGTTCCTACCTTCATGTCTTCAAGTGACTATTATAAGTGTTGTGAACACCCTAACAAAGTTGTGGTTGTTCATTTTACTATTTATTTTCATGAAAGTCCCTGTAAAGTTGATTACTAGCTAAAATAATTATGCTTAGTTTTTCTTACTTGCCATTCAGTTTCCTGATATAAGTTCCAAATCATTGCACCATGTCCTAATTGATATAGTGAAGGAATATGGACTAGATTTTACTTATTCATTAGGAAATTATCATTTTTGAATATTGGTATATATATATATATATATATATATATATATATATATATATAAACGTCTTTGAATATCTTTTACTTTCGTTAAGGTTCTTTATTTGTTTGTAAACATTATGAAAATTTAAATACTCATGTTTTATTGCAACTGTAAATGAATTATCTTCAACTTATATCCATGTTAACTTCTGAGCAATATGAAACCTATTTCTGATTACTGCAAGTCCCATATTAACTGTAATATTATACACATTTGTTACTTCAAACCAAGTAGCTAATCTCACCCTCATTTGTCGTCTTAGTTCATTTAAAAATCTACAGATCGTTATTTTTATTCAACCATAGGTTTATAAAAATGACCGAATTTATATTATCATGCCATTTTTTACATATTGTATCCACCCATAAGTTAGTATGCTTTTACTTCCACCTTTTATAACGTATGTATCTGAGTTCAAAGAAAGATTGAAATTATTCCTTCCTCAGAAATGTCTACTTTATTATTGACAAAAATAAAGTAAAACCAAAGTACTTCTACAAGACTGGCAGGATTCTAATCCTGTACTCACCCTGGATGGTGAGCAGATAGAAGTAGTCGAGAAGTTCGTGTATCTGGGTAGCTGCATAAGTGCTGGTGGGGGTGTGAGTGATGAGATCGATGCACGTATAGTGAAAGCCAGAGCGGCTTATGCCAATCTGGGCCACCTTTGGGGCCTTCGTGATGTTAGTCTGGCTGTAAAAGGTCGGATCTACAACGCGTCGGTGAGAGCAGTTTTGCTCTATGCTTGTGAAACCTGGCCTCTCCGAGTTGAGGACGTTAGACGACTCTCTGTGTTCGATCATCGCTGTCTCCGAAGGATTGCTGACATTCAGTGGCAACACCATGTCAGTAATGCAGAGGTTCGGCATCGTGTGTTCGGGCACAGAGATGATAATTCAATTGGTGTCACCATCTTGAAACACCGACTTCGGTGGCTTGGGCATGTTCTCCGAATGTCGTCCCAGAGAATTCCACGTCGTGCATTATTTGCCGACTCTGGGACTGGTTGGAAGAAGCGGAGAGGTGGTCAGTGTATGACATGGTGTCGTGGTATGAAAGAAAGCTGCAAAGGACTGGCTTTTGTCGGTCCTTTACGACTCCCTGGTTGGGGTCTGAGAGATGGTGCTACACAGTGGCTAGAGACGTTATCAGATATGGCTCAGAATAGAAGCCAGTGGCGATCCTGCTGTAACCTTCTTTTACTTTCTTCATAAAAAGTGGTTGTGTCTCCCTTACCTGAAAGATTTCTTCTGATTGTACCTTGCTGTTCCCTCGTTACTACCACACTACCTTACACCAACCTCTTTGTTATTGTTCTCTTTTTTTTGCGCTCCTTAGTTTTTTTTTTCTTTCTATTTCTTTTGGAATTCCCATTGTTTTGTGTGGCGCATATATATTGGCGCTTTCTTGTACCAATATTCATGTGTTCAAATAAATAAATAAATAATATTTCCTCGTAGGGTATTATTGACCCCGGCAAAGTTTTCAAAGTACTTATAGATTCAAAAAGATTCCTCAGTGTATATTACATTCCCTCTTCTCCAACGTTAATAGACCAATATAAACTGTCACTAATTTCACCAAGTTTCGAGACATTCCATGATTTTTGTGTTGCCTGTTTAACGCTATTGGTCCGTTGTGTATTTTTAGTATGGTATTTTTGCAACGCTTCCCAAGGATAGTTTTATGCTGTATATATACGTTTGATTTGTGTCTGTTACTATTTACTCGTGCTTCTGGTCTACGGAATATACTTTCCCGTTCCAGGCTTGGACTTCTTCCTCTAGTTAGCGGGGCTCGGACGCATCAAATAGCTAGCTTATTGGTCTACGTTCACAAGTCTTTGTTCCGTTCGCATACTCAGTAAACTCGTAATAGCTTCAAACCTAGCAGTCTGTGACAATGTAAAACTTACCATGAAGTAAAATCTTTGCCTTTGTTTGGTGTTTAATAGTTTACAGTTTGCAAATCGAATGGGTAATCTTTCGGTGCACGGTTGATGTATTTATACAGAAAGTTAATTAGGCTATAAAATTTTTTATTGGTTACTTGAGCGTTGAATCTTACTACTATTTATGGTAATAATTTTCTGAAAAGTAATTCATCTCTCTAAAAGATTAATCAAATAGCACTCTAAGCTTAATAAAAAGCGTCATCACAGATATTTCCCGCTCGTTTCTTGTTATGCTCGTCTACCTATAAGCAATTGCTGATTCGTCCCGCTGTTTTTAATTTTATTTATAAATCATTTGTGAAATATTAACTCCCTATTTTCTTCATCCTATTCCTTGAGTGCTGTTAGAGGTATGAATACAGTAGTCTTTTATTTCAACTCCCAGATTTTAGCTAAAATATTAGTCAACCTAATCGATAAAATTGGACCACCGTCCCTAAAGACCTCTGGAGCTATTCCATCTGCTCTTTCTCGTTTCAGAATAGCTATAACCTTTTAAACTTCAGATAGAGTCGGGGGACCTACTTCAATATCCCATTCACGCTGTCTGGGAATGGTGGGTAGATGTAGAGTAGCTAAAGGCCAGCTAAACTGTTCCGTCCATCGTTCTAAACGTGTCGGCTGATAAGAGTGTCGTCTTTCTCACATTTGACTTATTAATTCCAGTTTCTGCGCGGCAGTTCGTTCTGTTTTAATTTACGGCTGTGAAACGTGGCCATTAAGAGTAGAAGATACTCGTAAGTTACTAGTTTTTGACGACGCATGTCTTGGAAATATTGCTCGCATCTGCTGGAATCACCGGGTAAGTAATGGTGAGGTTAGACGCAGGATATTAGGGAATGATGGTAAATCAGTTGTGAACCTTCATCGACTGAGATGGTTGGGCCACGTGTTTCTTATGCCTGAACACTGATTATCACGACGCGCAATGCTGACTGGTGTTGATGGTTGGAAGAAAGTTAGGGGCGGCCAAACCAAAACGTGGCATCAGTGATTGAAGTTACTAACTTCTGGTCTGAGCCATGTTGTTAGATGCAGACTACTTGGTTGGGGTCCGCGTGACTATCGTAACCAATGGCTGGAGACTCTGGGTAACATGGCTTAGAATTCATCATAATGGTGTAGATGTATTCGCCCTTCATCTTCCCTTAAACTGTGAGATTTAAATTACTTTATACCTTTCTTTCTATGAACTAATTCTTCTTCCCTGTACTATATCCTCATATACAATCCTTCTTTTATATATTACCACCATTGAATTAGCTACTTTATGAATCCAGTGTTCATCATGTGCTATTGAGTTGTGGCATCTTGGACCGATGCACATATGTGTCTGGTCCTACGTTGTAGCTGACTGACTCATCCTATTTCTAATGATATTTTCTTGATGACGAAATTCGAGAAGGGAATTTTCAGACATGTTATCGGGATATACTTAGAGTATGTCTTTCATAAGATACCTCAATTTTCTCAAAGACTACTCACCAACTATATGCTCACAAGCAGTATTCTATGCAGGTGTTATTACCAAGGTTTGATTTGATAATTTCGAGTAAATTGAGCATTGGGTTGATTGTTATAAATAATAATAATATATTTGTAATATCCCAATGAGTAGAAAATTGGATTTTCTGACGTTTCGTGACTTAGTGTAAGTCACTTCTTCAGAGAATAAATAACCAAATTAAAATTAATCCAAGTTTTTTTTATTTAAACTTGGATTAATTTTAATTTGGTTATTTATTCTCTGAAGAAGTGACTTACACTAAGTCACGAAACGTCAGAAAATCCAATTTTCTACTCATTGGGATATTACAAATATATTAATAGTATTCTATGCGTTTTCTTAAGACCTTAGTTCTTTATAAACTAGATATTTGAAAGTTTGATATCAGTTCTCCGGTGTTTTTAAACTTCCCTATATAGTTTGACGTTTATCTCATTTTTTCATGATAGCTGCTGTAATGGATGTACACCATATGGAGTTAGATCATTCTGATGGAGAGCAGAGTACCGATGTTCACTCTGAACCGTTAAATCTTATAGCTTCAAATCTTATTATTCAACCTGATATTTATCCAATAAGACCGTCATATGAATCTGTAAGTTCTATTCTATTTTCTGTACATAATGATATTTTTTTAATATTCAAAGGGGTGTACAATGTTAAATTGTTATTTCTATATGCTCCGCCTTCTTTATAACGGAAAACTGGAAAGCACTTCTCCTTGACGATCTATCAACGCAATATAGAATCTTCATGATTTTATTGACTCAAAATGTTCTGTTCTGTATCTGCTATTTATGAGTATATTCAAAAGCAGTAGATTCATTTCGGTAACCAGTTTGTACTCATATAAATCACATTACTAATTAATTAGTATTATATCTATTAGAAAGTTGTACACATGAGAAAATAAAATTAACTAATCACATGAACATAGACATATGTTCAATGGAATACCGCATTCAAAAGTGTCTAAGTTACGATACTTTATAACAGCATATATAGAAGAAATAAACAAAAGTAGTAGAAAAACTAAACTTGACAATCACAAGTTCGCGGAATTAAATAATTGATAAGTTATTTATTCGGAATTTAGAAAACAAAGGTTGTACGTCTACAATTATCGACTTCCCAAGTCATCCCTACTTTTATACTTCAATTATTTTTATCGACGGAGTATACGCTTACGACTCCAGATCAACAGTCTGTGACCCTTTCTGTAACAGTTCTACCATTTAAATCCGATCCTACCTTCAAGTAGTGACGCATGCTCGCCCTAATCGGAGAGGTTTACAACTTCATCAGGATTACTCACACTTTCCACGGTATGCGCAATCGGGAAAAGTCACGGTCGCAGTGATACTTTTTGAAGGTACGATAAATCCTCTCTCTCTTATTAGTCCTCCTACCCCCACAACGAATGCTCCTCATACATCTCTATCAGCCCGCGTCAAACCATATACTGGCTTTCAATGTTCGAACATTGTGTCAGATACGACATCACGCTTCCTTAGTCAACACTCTAGAATCTCGCACCAACCATTCATACTACGTCTCCGAAACGCGAATTCACAATCCAAACACAGTCAGTCACTTGACTTCACCTTGTCAATGCAAAGAACCAGGGCGGTTTACACTTAGTGAATAAACTGGAAAATTTTAACAACTAGAACGATCAGAATCTGTAGCGATGTAGAGCTATTAAGTTTTTTTGAATTCGGCTGGTTAAGTGAATCAAATATTCAATACGTTCTAATCCAATTGTTGGCAGATAACATTGGCAATTTTTTTAACCCCGACAACGGCTTTAAACCGTCAATAATGGTTCGTAAATTATTGGTATTCTTTTTCCGTTTCTAGCTTGTGGAACATGATGATATTAAAACTAGAGGTATTAGTAGATCTGAATATAATTGCATAACAAATGTTGAAGTATTCCTTCGAATGAATACACCACAATCCAGAAGAAATTCAGTTGGTCTCAATTCAACGTTGCAAATTCCGACTACTTCATCTAGTTGAGGAACTTATCAACAAGCGACAGCGAAATTGTTTTGCCAAATAACTTTTTGCACTTTAAGGTCGTATGGCGGCATTTAAAAAATAGTCGCTAAATACATATGAATGTTGAACAATTACCCGTTAATTAGCTGGTCAATGTGAATACTGACATGAACCACCGATTTTATGTACAATAATGATATTTTGAATGGTTGAAATTTCCAATATACTGTTTTTTTTTAGTGTCTATGTTATCATATACATTGACAATATTTCTGCAGTCCCATTTAAAACGCAAATGTATAGAACAAGGCTTGGGAGCTTCATTGTAATATTAGTTACAAAATTATTGGGATTTTTAAATTCGCCACTTACATTGGAGCTTGTAAACTTATTAGGTCTACAATAAACAATAGTTTTGTCAGCACCTATTATGTCTTAAGATGGAATTTAAAATAAGTAGTTTAGTTTGCGTGCAAGAGTGAGGTTGCACGACTGGTACCCACCTAAATAGACACATTATTCAGACTTTAAACGGACGCCTCAGTAAATGCAATCCGATGCATGTATCTTCTTGTCAGATCATACCACGACACTCGTAACAGTGCACGGAGAAAAAAAAGAAAATCTTTAGTAATTAATATTTTTATGGAGTAGCGTATTATATTTGAATTGATAAACAACCATAACTAGGATAACGATCAAGTTTTTCAACGAAGCTACATATAACTTGGGCTGTGAGCACATATAATAAAGAACCAGGTGTATCTTAAACAATTTCAGTAAATACATGTTGATTATATAGTGTCGCTGATGTTGAGCTCCAAACTTTGATATACAAGACTTATTAATGAATGTCTACCATAAGGCGTTTGACGCCCCACCCGGAGGTTGTTTGGTTCGAATCCCCGTGCGAATCGGACGACTATCGTCGTACTGAGCGCCTAAAAAAGATGTCGAAAGTCGAATATAACACCTCACACGAAATGAAAAGTCCAAAATCAATAAAATAGCCAGAACGTTACCTCACCAACTTTAAATACGCAGTCACAGATGTAAGCAAAAAGAGTATTTCCCTTATTGAATCAACTGACAATAAACTATAATTTTAGTGCCTGAAATTTTTCTAAGTTAATATAAATAGACTTTTTCTACATTCAATAGTCTTTTATATATATTTTGTTAGTCATAAATTAACGTGAGTATGCTAAAAGTAGATGGGTCTTAAATCTTTGTAGTTTCGATATTTCAGTTAGCTACATTGTAGTAAACGAGTACACCAGGGGGGACAACCAAATGTAAAATCATCACTTTTGATAGATGATACATACTACTTGTGTCTGTCGACATTAGTAGCACACACCACAACATAATTGTTCGTAGTAAACGCAGTTCACATGGCTATCTCTAGCTCTTATTTGTTTAACTCAGCCAACAGCATCACACCATGCACTTCACTATCCCACTATTACAGCCTATAACACTAATTCTTTGAAGGTGCTACTAGACACAATGGCGTCAGTCACAAACTGGACCTTGCAGTTACAATGGTAAATTATGATTGGTAGAGTTGAATCAAGTAATTTTTCGAAGGTTTGCAGATAGACTGATCACACATTTCATAGTGTATTAACATAAATTGACGCTTTACAACAATTATTTGTGACTTGATGGTTTGTATTTGATATTTCGACCACCAAGTCAAGGATTTGGATTTATGCTAGACTTTTCAGGCTAAGTAATAGTATGCGTGACAACGATATTACACGTTAAAGAGCTTTGTATTCAGGCTTTTAGATAACTACTTGACTGTTCCTTAATCTTATTTTATTGATTTGTATGATCATCAAGGATTAATTCACTTAACGTGTGAGTCATATTAATATGGGACTACATTGTAGCTTTTAGAATCGGATATATGCATAGGACTTGATCAGTTTATTCATCAGATCAACAAATAACCCAATGTTATGGACCATATTCGGTTTACTGCTTATAAAATTTCACACGCCGAATGAACAATATCAAGATAACAGCGAATCGCAGTTGTTCATTCTGCGAATTTCCTAATCTCTGACTCTATGTTCTAGATCATAATCTTTTGGGCCAAGGAGATACCCAAATAAGACATGAACTTGCAGTCTGAGTCTTAAAATATTACTTTCTCAAGTAGTTTACCGTTCGTAATTATTACTATAAATTTTAATTTTACTCCCATCAATCAGCCTAATCACTTTTAGTTGTTTCATGAATAGCTCAACATAAATGTTACACGTCCTTGCCTGTTATAAAACTGAAACGAATAACGTTTAAGGATAATTCTATGAGTGGAATGTTTTCTAAATAAACCTACCACTCAGAGAGAAACTGGATTCCTGCATATTCCGACCACCCGAACGTGTAGGTGAGCGAGGGCGCAAGCCATCAGCATCAGACCCCACTGAGACTTTTTCTGTACCATTATTAACGATGGCATCTTTCATTGGAATAGTGAATTCTGTGGACACAGGACCAGTATATGAATCACGAAATATAGGTTTGACTGAACGCATCTAGAGAAAATATTAGTAAAAAATAATCAGTTGATAGTCAGTCAACAACGTAGAACTTCATACGTATGTACATCAGTTCGAGTTGCCTTACCATATTAGCACAAAGATACAATTGTCGATTAAAATCCCACAGTACTAGAAACAGTAAAAGTTTAAGCAGTAATAGGAAACATTACAGTTTGAAGGTGTTATTCAAGGAGTATAATCCAGTAAAATAAATTTGGAAAGAGAAAAAAGGACATGAAGAATCCAGAAGATTAGAATTTGGGAGAACACAAAGAGTAGATGCACCTGCACCATTGCAAACAATTTCGAGCCATGTCATTTATGGTCTCTAAACATCGGTTGCTATCGTCTCGTGGATCCCAACCAGGTAGTCTACACCTACCAAAATGGCTCAGTCCACTTGTCAGTGACTTCATGGACTTGTGCCATGTTTCGATCTGGCCGCCCCTAGCTTTCTTCCAACCTACTCCTATACCACTGAACATCGCACGTCGAGGCAGTCGGTGGTTGGGCATACGTAACACGTGTCCCAGCCATCTCAACTGATGAAGTTTCACTACTTCATCAATGGATTTGCCATCCTTACCTAGTACCCGTTTCCTAACAACTGCGTTACTTACTCGATGGTCCCAGGATATATGAGCAATGTTTCGAAGACACCTATGATCAAATACTTGTAACCTACGAATATCTTCTACTCTTACCGGCCATGTTTCACTGCCATAAAGTAGGACGGAACGAACTGCTGCACAGTAAACACGTCCTTTGGTTGATAGACGGATGTCTCGCCTACGCCATAAATGACGCAAGTTGGCAAAAGCTAGTCGAGCCTTCTGTATCCGTGCTGAGACTTCGTCACACACCAAACCACAAGGGCTGATCAGACTTCCAAGATAAGTGAAGCGGTCGACACGCTCAACTACTTCACTCCCTATCATTAGTTTGGGTGTCGATGCAACCCAATCCTAAGGCAACATTTTACATTTCGAGGGCGAGAATCGCATCCCGAACATGCCTGCATTGTTGCTTAGAGTGGTCAGAAGACTCTGCATTTTGTCGGCATCTTCACCAAATAGAACTATGTCATCGTCATATTCCAAGTCAACAAGTGAATCTCCTGGTAGAAGTTCAACCCCTGGAAATTTAGATGAGGTAAGTGTCATCTGTAAAAGCACGTCAACGATGAAGTTGAACTAGAATGGAGAGAGTGGGCAGCCCTGACGAACACCACTTGAGGTAATCAATTCTGATGACAGTTCGTCATAAGCTCTCACTCGACCAGTTGTGTTCGAGTAGAAAGCCTTTAGAAGGTTAGTGTACTTCTCTGGTACTCCTTTCAGTGACAAACACTGCCATAGTACCTCACGATCAACAGAGTCAAATGCCGCCTTAAGGTCGAGAAATACTACCATTGTGGGGCGTCTGAATGTGTGTCTATGTCCTAGGATCTGATCTATACAACCACGTTCAGGTCGGAAACCAACCTGGTTTTCTCTAGTTTGCTTTGGTTAGGCGTCGATGTATTATTAAAGCTAATATTTTAGACACTATATTAGTCAAACTGATTTCTCTGTGATTGTCACAAGAGGATTTTGTCCTTTCTTATAGACTGGCACAATCAGTGATTGAGACCAGTCAGATGGGATTGCGTCCAGTTCCCAAATTTTACCTAAGACCTCAGTCAATCTCACCGCTGATACTGGACCACCATCCTTAAAAAATCTCAGGAGTAAATCTGTCAGGGCCTGCTGCTCTCCCTCGTTTCAGATTTCCTATGGCTTTTTCAACTTCGTAAAGGGACGGAGGACCTACATTAACTTGCCATTCAGGTTGACTAGAGATCGTGGGAAACCGAAGTGTGGCTGAAGGCCAGTTGAACTGATCCCTAAAGTGTTCTGCCCATCGATCCAATCTCCTGGATTGAGAATGTATAATATGTTCATCTTTCTCTGACATTGTTTCGCTAACAGTCGGGTTCCTAATACCGGTTTCATTAACGAGTCTGAACAAGTGTCTGCTATTACCTATTGCCGCTGCCTTTCCCATCTCTCTTGCTTTCGCTACCCATCACTGTTCACGATCATTGAGTAGGCCTCTTGTCAGCTTGCGCTTAAGCTGACTCCGCTCTTCGTTATGTTCAGAGCCATATGGAATGAGTTATCAAGCATCTATTAGTGCGGTAGATGCTGCTGAGATCCAGCTTTTCGGATGTCATTCCACGCTGCCCCAGGGTAAGCAACACTTACATGGCTGCCTAACTGTTTTTCTAATTGTTCGTGAAATATATTCTTAGCTTGATTATCATTAAGTAGAACCCTAATAGGTTTCCTTGCAGCGTCTTTCCTACGTCCAGTAAGACACAAACAAATACGCGCTTGAGCATGGTCTGAATCTAAGTATGTGCTACAGAACAAGCGACAGTCTTCTATCGAGCCCCTCCATCGGTGGCTGATAGCGATGTGATCTATTTGGGTCCAACATTGGGACGAATTCGGGGGTTGCCATGTCAAAAGATGTTTTTACTTATGCTTAAAGTTAATGTTTACAAGAAACAGGCGATTATCTGAGCATAGTTGTAACAGACAGTCTCCATTATCTGTTCTTTGAGTCACGACACCATAAGATCTACCCAGGTTTCTTTCCCTTTCGCTTAGTTTACCTACTTGAGCATTAAAGTCACCAGCCACTATTACTTCATCAGTGCGCCTAACTTTTTGGAGGAGGTCACAAAGCTTTCTGTAGAACTCATCTTTTACATCATCTGAGCTGCAGTCAACGGGAGAGAAGGAAGAAACGATGAAGAGGCAACGATGTGTCCCTATCTTTTCGAGTCATTATTGTTCTGTTTAGTCGGAGAGCGCACAAACGACTGTCTACTGGGATCCAATCTAAGAGAGCTAGTTCTGCCTTAGGACTCAATGCTATACCTACACCAACGAGGCCACGAGAAGCAGCATTAGGGGTTCCAGATAAACGAAGAGTGAATAGAGATGTTTCTTTATTTTGATATGGTGAGGTCAAATGGATGACGCTACTTTATGTGCGATTCGGAGACGCAGCGCACATCGATTCTAAAGTCTTAGCTAAGGAAGCCTGTTGTTCTATTTGGCAAAGTGTTCGGACGTTAAAAGCTCCATGTAGTGAAGAGCGTGGTTTCAGGGAACGGGGAATAGCGTTCCGCGTACTCAAATCTTTTGAATTAGCGGTGAGAGGTGGTAAAGGAACGTGAGAAGGGTTAGTTGTGGAGATACGAGAGTTATTAGGTGTAGGTAGGATTCGATTGTGACCAACTTGGTCTCGTGTGCTGTTACAGGTATGAGGGCTGATATCACTTCCCGGCTGCCCACATGTGGAAGGGTATTTCTTGAGGGATTAGTTTTGGTCTTAACGACCTGGAAGCATGACCGCAGAGCCGAAGGGACAACTGCTTGAAGCCGGTCTTGCACGGTCTCTTTGTGGGAAGTTAGCTCTGTTCTTCAAACGGCCTTACCGCCGGAGACGGGAATCCGTGGATAACTTATAAGGGACAACAATAAGCTATTGATAAAACCCGGACCAGATTGCCAAGCGAAACGTTGGATTTATTTCAGATTCTTTCGCTGAGATTTTACAAGTACATTCTTACTCTTTAATGTCTTACTTTAACTCGGAGCCCAAACACTGTGAAACTATTCGATCAAATTTAGACGAAAGTTCTTAATTGCGAAGATTGACTTTCCAAATCTTTTTATGACCTAATAACGACGTAAATGTTTGGATATTCGGTTTTCAGTCACAGCCTTTATGTATTCAGATGCCTTTTGTTAAGATAATCTTTGAATGGAAGTGATTCCGACAAAAACAGTAAATCTACTAAAGATGAAACTAAGATATAATGTATCAGGAATCCATGAGACATTTTAATATGACACCTGTATGCTGCATTCTAAAACATTACCGAAGGTGTATGGTTTTCTTATCGATGGAACTAATACTTCTTAATAAAAGATTGTTGTAATGTAATAACTCGTATATTTTCATTCAGACATTCGAGATCCGACTTAAGTGAAGAAATATTCTTTCAAATCAGCTTCTCATGATGATAAGAAACGAATACACAGCTTCACATATGAGTACAAAATTTAGTTTTATCAAAATAGTAGTGAGTAAATTACCCTTATAATAATGAGGAAATGCTCAGAATTGTTGGTTAACAAACCACTACATACACCAAATAACTACTTGGGAATAAGAATTAATGATGTAGAACATTTGTTGAAAGGATTTTACCAATGACAGTCGAAGGATTTTATATCAAGACAATTTAAAAAATACTGGCTTTTTCAGTGAGTAGTCATGGCTCCAACTAGAAAAAAATACAACATGGATAGACCACTTGATTTGATAGCCCTGCGTAATCATGGCATATCATGTCCTTGGACTACTGTGATTTGTGACCAACTGACCGAAACTTACATAAGTGTGCAGCATACGAAACCATAAATACCACTCAACAAATTACACATAGCCCTGACCATAATGAGATAGGATTCACCAAAGATACTAATGATGGCATCTAACATTAATAACAACTAAATATATATTACAATCATTTACAACTAACCAGCACCAGTCTTTTTGTTCGCTCAAAAATATACGGTGAAAATGGTAAAGCCGGTACAAAACGACCTGCACCCTGAGTTACTCTAAGTTCTCCGTCCTCCAGAACAACCCGACCAGCAGCGACCACGACTACAGGTACGCCATGGCACTGGAGACCTTCAAATATGTTGAAGTCAACATTTTCGTGGTTATTTTTCGCTGATATTGTGCGAGTTGCATCACCATCCCAGATAACCAAATCAGCATCACTTCCAACATCGATCCTTCCCTTTTGTGGATAGAGATTAAAGACTTTAGCGGCATTTGTACTAGTCACAGCAACAAACTTGCATGGGTCTATAAAACCAGACATCTAAAAAATGAAGATAAATTTAATAGCGGTTTCCATAAAATTATAGCAGCAAATTACCACTCCTTTCTCCCAAACAACTGACATTCGATCTTCTACTCCATTGACTCCAGGAGGGATTTTTCGGAAATCGTCCTTTCCCAAAGCTTTCTGTTCAGTTTTAAAAGCACAATGGCCACTAGCAGTACATTCTAGAACCCCAGTGGAGACGTAACGCACCAACTTATCTGAAGTATTCGGATTTACTCTTAGTGGAGGAGACAGAACATATCCCGCAGCATGACGCCAGCAACTATTCTTATAATGAGTACCATCAGCACCCAGTGCAGCGGCTAATGTTTCACCTACAACAACATTTCCATTCCAACGAGCTTCTGATATTTGATCTGCTGCTTTCGGACTAGTGACTTGTAGAATATATAGAGGACAACCAGCAGCATCAGCTAAAGAAAGCGCTCGATGTGTAGCTTCAATCTCCGCCTGTAAAAATAAATAGAAACATTTCACTTGATAAAGCCGATGATTTAAGTTTGAAACAAACAGCAAATAAAACTGTGGTATGATAATAATTCAAAAGCTCTAAGCCCCCAAATGCCCTGGTATGGCCGAGAGTGGGGAGAGTCCGCTCTCCCTCTCGAAATACTCTCACACGGCCACGCGTATACAGCCTCTGCCAGGGAAGTCCTACTCATTGCCTTCTCGTGGCGGGAGGTGTTGTTTACGAAAATGAGAGGACGAAAAGCGAATGTCCGGCGCTTTAACCAGATCCCAAACCAATGGTGCACATGGGCTAGCTCCAGTATCCTGCGGGAACAAATGGCGTATGAACCAATCGTTGATCACCGGCTACCATGGGACTGCATCTCCTTACGATGCTCCACTGCATTGTGGGTTAAACCTTTAGGTCAGAGGCTCGGGGTGTGGCCCCCTAAGATAACCACCTGCTTCGGTTTGGGCACCCGGGCAGTATCACAGCCCACACACAAATATGATGAACTGCCCATAATTATGGAAACTACTTTACTTGCTTCAACTAACAATCAAATGATTATTATTACTATTATTATTTACCACACCATTCACCCTCTTTTATACTTATACAGCGGCTCGTCTTTGTTGGAAATTCGACTGTATCTAAACGTTCTCGAGTCACTGTCCGGTTGAAAATTGTATGTTACCACCGAATATGAGTACTGAAGCAGTTTTTCTGAAACCACGTGCACCATTCAAACTGGCTGCCTTCAACGTTCGCACACTTATGCAGGTTGGACAACAGATAGGGCTGGCTATGTCTTTGGAAAGTCTTAATATCGATGTTTGCTGTCTATCCGAGACCCGTATTCAAGACTCTGGTGAAGTACTACAAATTCGATCTCCATCTGTCGCTTCGAAAAGCTTGTTTTACGTGCGCTTATCCGGGGACCCTGTGGCATCTTCGTCTGGTCTTGCTGGCGTTGGTGTCGCACTAAGCGCTAGAGCTGAGGCAGCACTAGTCGATTGGATCCCCATTAACAGTCGGTTATGTGCTGTTAGATTAGAAAGTTCCATCAAAGTGAGAAGAAATCGGCGTGAGAAACGATGTCTTTTCGTCATCTCCGCCTATGCCCCGACAGATTGCAGCCCGGATGCAATCAAGGATGAGTTTTACCACCAGTTATCTGTTCTTCTCCAGAAAGTGCGTTCGACAGATATTGTAGTACTAGCCGGAGACTTGAATGCTCAGGTCGGGCGTCTAGGCACAGAAGAGAGTCGTTTAGGTGGCCGATGGGGACTTGTTGGTCGCAGGTCAGATAACGGGGACCGTCTACTGCAACTGTGCACAGACCACAACCTGTTTCTGGCTAGCACTAACTTTCGGCACAGTCATCGCCGATGTGCCACCTGGCGTCCTCCCTCTGCATCTCAAGCCTGGACTCAGATTGATCACATCGCGATCAGCTACCGCTGGCGTGGTTGTGTACAAGACTGCCGCTCCTTTTGGAGTACCTATCTGGACTCTGACCATGCCTTGGTCTGCGCCAATCTTACCTTACTTTTCAGTGGACAACGAAGTGACCGCCATCAACGGATTGATGTTAGCAAGCTGGTTGCAACTTCTGTTGCAAGTAAGTATCGAACCGAGCTAGCCTCTAGGCTAGCTACCACTCCACCGAAAAGTATAGATGAGCATTGGTTGCAATTGCATGACGCCATGAAAATGGCGGGAACAGTCAGTTGTGGGTTTGCGAAACGTCCCGCTTTAAGCACTGGTCGGTCCTTACAACTCATTGAAGCCCGTCGGTCTACTCCGGGTGACCGTGAGTTTGACCATAAACGAAGGATGTTACGTAAGGAAATTGGGCAAAGCTTGCGTAAGGACCGAGAAGCCTGGTGGTCGGAGCGTGCTAATGAGCTGGAAGCAGCAGCTGCATCTGGTAACTACCGGAAGCTCTTCCAACTCATCCGAGCCACTGGCAGCAAGAAGTCTGGTGTGAGTGAAACAATCTGCGAGGATGATGGGATGCCAATCACTAACATCCATCGACGTCTTGGACGATGGGCAGAATTTTTCGAAGGGCAGTTCAACTGGCCTGCTGCTCCGGCAACATCGGTCAGACTGTCCTGCCCTCCATGGCCGGTGACGACTGATCCACCAAATGAGGAGGAAGTCCGCAAGGAACTCCAACTCTTGAAGCGTTACAAATCACCTGGCCCAGATGACTTACCTCCGGCTCTTTTTAAAGATGGTGGTGACTTTTTGACTAAGGAATTGACGACGTTGTTTACAAAGGTTTGGGAACTAGAGAGTGTACCAACGTCATGGAATGAGTCGATAGTTGTCCCTATCTTTAAAAAGGGTTCACGTCGTTCCTGTAACAACTATCGGGGGATAAGTCTACTTCCGATTGCGTCCAAGCTATTGGCTTCCGTCATACTTCGTAGGTTGTTCAAAACCCGAGAAAGATTGACTCGCGAGGAGCAGGCTGGGTTTCGTTCTGGTCGAGGATGTATTGATCATATCTTCACCCTCCGCCAAATGTTAGAACACCGCCATACTTATCAAAGGCCAACAATCGTAGTGTTTCTTGACATCAGGGCTGCCTTCGATTCGTTGGACAGGACTGTTCTCTGGGATTGTCTATTGAAGAAGGGTGTGCCTGAGAAGTTTATTAACATCCTAAAAGCCCTATATAAAAACACCTCAGGCAGAGTGAGGGCATACAACCACCTCTCTCCATTGTTCCATTCGAGCAGTGGGGTTAGGCAGGGTTGCCCAATCTCACCATTCCTCTTCAACTTTGCCATCGATGACATTCTGGAAACAGCTCTGATGAATGTAAGTAATGGTGGTGTGGATCTGTTGCCTGGAGAAAGACTTCTCGACCTTGAGTATGCGGACGATATTGTCTTACTGTGCGATAATGCCCAAGGCATGCAATCCGCACTTAATCAGTTGGCAATCAGTGTCCGTAGGTATGGTATGTGCTTTGCACCTTCGAAGTGCAAAGTACTTCTACAAGACTGGCAGGATTCTAATCCTGTACTCACCCTGGATGGTGAGCAGATAGACGTAGTCGAGAAGTTCGTGTATCTGGGTAGCTGCATAAGTGCTGGTGGGGGTGTGAGTGATGAGATCAATGCACGAATAGTGAAAGCCAGAGCGGCTTATGCCAATCTGGGCCACCTTTGGCGCCTTCGTGATGTTAGTCTGGCTGTAAAAGGTCGGATCTACAACGCGTCGGTGAGAGCAGTTTTGCTCTATGCTTGTGAAACCTGGCCTCTCCGAGTTGAGGACGTTAGACGACTCTCTGTGTTCGATCATCGCTGTCTCCGAAGGATTGCTGACATTCAGTGGCAACACCATGTCAGTAATGCAGAGGTTCGGCATCGTGTGTTCGGGCACAGAGATGATAATCAATTGGTGTCACCATCTTGAAACACCGACTTCGGTGGCTTGGACATGTTCTCCGAATGTCGTCCCAGAGAATTCCACGTCGTGCATTATTTGCCGACTCTGGGACTGGTTGGAAGAAGCGGAGAGGTGGTCAGTGCATGACATGGTGTCGTGGCATGAAAGAAAGCTGCAAAGGACTGGCTTGTGTTGGTCCTTCACGACTCCCTGGTTGGGGTCCGAGAGATGGTGCTACACAGTGGCTAGAGACGTTATCAGATATGGCTCAGAATAGAAGCCAGTGGCGATCCTGCTGTAACCTTCTTTTACTTTCTTCATAAAAAGTGGTTGTGTCTCCCTTACCTGAAAGATTTCTTCTGATTGTACCTTTCCGTCCCCTCATTATTACTATTATTATTACTACACTACCTTACACCAATCTCTTCGTTATTGTTCTCTTTCTTTACGCTCCTTACCTTTTTTTCTCTTCGAATTCTCATTGTTTTGTGCGGCGCATATATATTGGCGCTCTCTTCTACCAATATTTATGTGTTCAAATAAATAATAAACGCTCTAAAATATCTTTTAGCAATAACACCAATTCCATAGTCCTATATGCTTCGAAAACAAAGCAAATAAATCAAATACTTATTGATGATTTATGTCTTCTGATTTCTCATAGGTCAAGAGAAATTTGTCCTCGGATGAACGATCAATAATCACACGAATCTTTTGTCAATACTGCAAAGCATGGTGTGGTGAACAATGGCATTCTGGAATATTTGTGAAGAGATGTTTATTTTTGTAAATATCACGAGCAGAAAAAATAATTACGCAAGCAGAAGGATTGACAATCTTGTCTCAGATACATTACAACTCTTAAACACAAAATCCCTTTTCCAAGAGAGATAAAACCAGTCTAAATATTTAACGCTTATATAGAAGATATATAATCAGTCAAACGTATACAGAAGTTTGATAACTCAGTCGATTTTTGGGCTTGGTCATTATAATATAAAAATGATGGACTGAGAATCAGAATGAACTGATTGTAACATATAGTTAAAATACAATCTAAGTACATCGTTGTTCAATAAAAAACAAAGCAATGACTAAAGGAATGAAAGAATACCATTCATCAGCCACCAAGATTTTAGACAATATAACAAATCAGTAAGTCACTAATTTACTAGCAGAATACGAACGGCAGTATTTTTGCATGGAAAAGTGAAATAACCACCAAGAGCCTAGCTCCGAAAGTACTTTATTCCAAACACATCATTTACCATACTTAGGATCAAGCGGACCTCACTTTTAAGGCTGCTGCCTATCACTTATCACACGTCATCAAGTGCTAGTAAAGCCTACATTCATGTCCATCTAACATAAACAAAAACACCTTTACAGTGCAATAGATCCTATCAACAAATTTAAATTAATCTTTTATGGTAGAGTTACCTACTACTTCTACAAAACTTTCGAAATTATTCTATTTCTTTAAATTTCCAACAATAATATTTGCAGGACTCAGTCAGTCAGTCAGCTACAACGTAGGACCAGGCACATGTATGCATCGGCCCAGGTTGCCATACCTCATTAGCACAGCAAGATGAACACCGGATTCATAGGAGTGGTTAGGTCAAAGGTGGTAATATATAGGAGAAAGATTGCAATAAGGATATAGTATAGGAAGAAAGAATTAGTTCGTAGAAAGAAAGATGTGAAGTGATCTTAATCTCTTAGTTTAAGAGAAGACAGAGAGTGTATACACCGACGCCATTGTGATCGATTCTGAGCCATGTCACCAAGGGTCTCCAACCATTGGTTACGAAAGTCACGCGGACCCCAACCAAGTAGTCTGCATCTACCAACATGGCTCAGACTAGAAGTTAGTGACTTCAGGCACTGATGCCACGTTTTGGTTTCGCCGCCCCTAACTTTCTTCCAACCATCCCCTACACCGACTATCATTGCACGTCTTGGTAATCGGTGTTTAGGCATACGTAACACGTGGCCCAACCATCTCAGTCGATGAAGATTCATAACCTCATCAACTGATTTACCATCATTCCCTAATACCCTGCGTCTAACCTCACTTACCCGGTGATCCCAGCAACGCCAGCAATATTTCTAAGGCATCTGTGGTCAAATACTAGTAGCTTACGGGTGTCTTCTACTCTTAAGGGCCATGTTTCGCTGCCGTAAATTAAAACAGAACGAACAGCCGCGCAGTATACTCGTCCTTTTATTGATAGACGGATATCTCGCCTCCGCCAAAGGTGACGTAAGTTAGCAAAAGCCAAACGAGCTTTACGAATCCGTGCTGAGATTTCGTCAGACACCAACCCATTAGGGCTGATCAGACTTCCAAGATAAGTGAAGTTGTCAACTCGTTCGACTACTTCACTCCTTCACTTCCCTACACTTTGTCTGGGAATGGAGGGTAGTTGTAGAGTAGCTGAAGGCCAGCTGAACTGTTCTCTAAAATGTTCCGCCCATCGTTCTAAACGTCTGGACTGGGAGCAGATGAGAGTATCATCTTTTTCCGAAATAATCTCACTTACACTTGACTTATTAATTCCAGTTTCTTTTATTGGTCTGTAAAGCTGTCTTGTGTTCCCTATAGTCGCCGCCTTTTCCATCTCTTTTGCTTTCGTTGCCCACCACTGCTCACGGTCGTTCCTTAGACTTTTTCTTAACCTAGATCTGATTTGTTTACGCTCTTCATCATGTTCAGAACCTCATGGGACGAGTTTGCGAGAATCCATCAGTGTGACAGACCTTGAAGAAATCCACTGGTTCCTTGTAACTCTGTGGTTTAAGTCACTAATAGATGTCACTGCTGTTTCCACAGCTGATTGTATGCCCTTCCAAGCAACATCTGGGTCAGCCTCGTTTTCAGAACTACCTAAGTGTGACCTCAGTTGTTCCTGGAACCTACTTTTGGTTTTCTCGTTACTCAACTCAGTTCTAATGGGTCTTTTTAATGTGGCTCTTTTGCGTCCAGTGAGGCGCAAGCAGATGCGTGCCCGTATTAGGGCGTGGTCGGAGTCCAAGCAGGTACTCCAGAATGAGCGACAATCTTCTACCGACCCTCTCCAACGATGACTGATGGCAATATAGTCTATTTGAATCCATCGTTGGTTTGGTGTAGGGGGTCGCCATGTTAGACGATGTCTCTCCTTATGCTTAAAATTTGTGTTTGCTAAAAATAAACGATTGTCTGAGCATAGCTGCAGCAGACGATCACCATTATCTGTTCGCTGTGTCGGAATACTAAAATATCCACCTAAATGCCTTTCTGTTTGGTTTAAACTGCCTATCTGAGCATTAAAATCACCTGCTTCGAGTACTATGTCTGAGCGTTTAGCTTTCTGAAGAAGTTCGGACAGCTTTCTGTAAAATCCATCTTTCACTTCATCTGAGCTGCAGTCAGTGGGAGCGTAGGCAGAAACGACAAAAAGGCAACGACGTATGTCTCTATCCTTCCGAGTTCTTACGGAGCCGTTCAGCCGAACAGCAGATAGACGACTGTTGACGGGGATCCACTCTAGCAGTGCTTGTTCGGCCCTCATGCTTAGTGCTATGCCTACACCTGCCAGTCCACGAGAACTTGCCATCGGGTCACCAGACACACGAAGGGTGTATCTCGTTGGCTCTCCGTCTTGCCAAGGTGAGGTCAAGTGAATGACCACACTGGAATCCTGTATGCGTGCTTCAGAGACACAGCATACATCAATGGAAAGAGACACTAGGGTTTTAGCCAAGGAAGCCTGCTGACCGATTTGACATAGGGTGCGTACGTTGAAGGCTCCAATGTGTAGTTTGGAGCGAGGTTTCAGTAGACCTGGGACAGTGTTTTGCGCACTAGAATCGTTGGCTATGGTGACACTTGAGGTGGAAGCCGAGAGAGGAAATATAGAGTTGAAAGTCGATGTAGGAGGAATAATAGGAATTGGAGAGGGAGGTTGATTATGAATACAGTGGTCTTGAGTGCTGTTAGAAGTATGAGGGCGGTTATCACTTCCCGGTTGCCCACACCGTGGAAGGGTTGTTCTGGAGGTACCTGAAAAGGAAATTCGATTAGAAGTGGTCTTAGTGACCTGGAAGCGTGACCGCAGTGCCCAAGGGACAACTGCTTGAGGTCGGTCACACACGACCTTGTTATGGGTAATTTTTGTGTTAGCTCCGTACTTATTGAGACCTTACCGCCGGAGACGGATATCCGTGGGATAAGGCGAGGTGTGCATTTTTAGGGTCGACCTTTTCTAACCCCACCCCTCCTTGTGGGAAGGCAGCATCGCTGTCATGCTGGTTGTCTGAAGGAAACACCTTACTGCTGTCACACCTCTGTACAGCCAGCAGTACGACTTCGCCTTCGGACCTTGGGTTTGTTGCTTTTAGTCTTACCGCTCTTCAACCGACCTGTCTGACATGGTAGGACCTTGAGGAACGGTTGTTCCGGCCAGTATAGCTCGGTTGCTTCATCACGATAGGCAAGCCCGACCACCACGTCAAGGTAGCAACAACGGTCGGGATATTTGCAGGACTGCTATATATAATTCAATAAACACTAAAATCGACTTTATAGTTCATAAATTGCGACACAATACTTATGTTACCGACCCCTTAAAGCTAAATAATTAAACATTCCAAAATGTTTTGGTATAACTGGCAAGAATAATCTGTCTTTGAAGTGTTTAAGGAAAATAACCATAGAGAATTCGGTAAAAAACAATGTTACAGAACGCATATTAAAGGTTATTTATCACTTATTGATTTACTAAAACACATAAATATTGATGCAATGATACACCAAATACATATACGCCACACTTCGGCATTCGGTTTGCTTGTGCTGGAATACTTCCAAGTCTCCCAAACCGAAGCAGGTGGTTTTTTTAAGGGGCCACACCCAGAGTGTTGGACCTAAAGGTATAATCCACAAGGTAGTGGATCGACGTGGGAAGATGCAGTCCCATGGTAGCTGGTGATCGACAGTAGGTTCACACATCACTTTCTCCCCAGAATCCTGGAACCTATGAGCACCACTGTTTTGGAATCAAGGTTAATATGTCTTATCTTTTTGCTCCCTCCAGCACTAATAATCTCCGCAGCATAGCAAGAAGGTTCTTAAACCAAGATCCAATAAACTTAAAGTGGGGTCCCGTTTCCCTCATCGAGTAGTCAATCATTGGAACGCCTTACCCGAACAAGTATCAGCCCCATCAGTGAATACTTTCAAGGAGAGGTTGGACCTTCACTGGAAAGCAGTGTGTCAGGAATAATACAGGTTTATCAACCTGCTATCCTTATTACTGAAGGCTAGATGGATCATCGATATCCACTCACCCGGTTAGTGCACCGAACATTTGCTTTTCGTTCTTTCAATTTCGTAAACAAAACCTCCGCCACGAGAAGGCAGTGAATAGGACTTCCCTGGCAGGGGCTGTATACGCGTGCCCATGTTAGGCAATTTGAAAGGGAAATCGGACTTTCCCGCCATCAGCTGTACCAAGACATTTGAGGGCAAAAGAATATCGCTGCTAGGATGTTAGAGGTAATAGAAGGTGAAACCCAGCAGAGAGTAATAATAATCAGTAAGAGTTCTTATTCGAAAACATCTTAAACAAAGACAATAAAATTATTTTAGGACCGTAACTAACCATTTCTGGGTGTGAATACAAGTAACCCTCTGGGCCAGTAATACCATCATTGTATATTTTCGACTCTAGTATCCTAACTAATTTTCCATTCTCTGCATGAACTTGGAGAACAGCACCAAGATCTCTACACCGCTTAGCGATTTCGAAGAAATCACCGTCGTCTACTAGCATGTCGTTTGTATTTGACAAGAAAACCCTAAAAGAATTCACTCCCTTTTCTTTGACTAGTAGTTCCATTTCCTTGGATATTTTGGGGTCGAACTGGGATAAGATAAAGTGCATCGCATAGTCACAACACGCTTTGGAATCTGCTGTTTGACGGGACTTTTCATACATATCCAAAAGTGAAATTTTTGTAGGTACAATACAATTGACTGAAACATAAATGATTTCAAACAAACAGACTTATTGTAGTAGTTCCACCAGCAAGTGCTGCTCTCGTGCCAGAATAAAAATCATCTGACGTATTCAAACCAAAACAAGAGGAATCAAAGCATGTATGAGGATCAACACCACCTAAAAACGAGACAATAATCTATACTTAAAGATTTGAAAGACCTGGGATGACCATCTTTCCTGATGCATCAATGATTCTGACTCCCCCTGGAATCGAAAGCTGATTACCTACTTGTCTACACAAAATTAAGGTACATGACAACATACCTAATAACCCCATCTTCAATATATATATCAGCAGTAAACATACGATCATCATTGACTACTTTCCCTCCTTTAATGAGCAAACGATTTTGGGAACTCTTTTTGATGATTTAATATGTGATTTTAACGTTACTTGTAGGTGCATAGGGAGTTTCTTTACTCCAACCTGCACACGGGAGTCATTCATTGTAATAAGACAGTAGCGCAACGTCTGAATTGCCACCACACTTCGCCATACCTAAACATATATAAATACAATTGACAAAACCTTTAAAAATTGTTAAAAACCATAATTGCCCCAGCTCTATTCTAGCACATTAGAGATATTATCAGGCATAATTCACGAAACTCTCCATCTGTATTTGACTTAATCTTCATATACGGTGACGGAGTCAGTCAGTTCAAGTTCCTTCCGCCTGCAGAGGCACTGAAAAGTCACTGGGCCCCAGCCAAAACATCCAGCAGCCGAGTCTCTGAGTGTCGAAAACTACACCAGTTCCCTTCGAGGTCAAAGGCAAACAAGTCAAGCCAGTTGATTGCATGCCATGTGCTGGACCGTTCAACAGCGTTCTCACTACATACTCTACCTACTCTTACTCATTTGTACCAGTATTAACGTCGTTTGTTCTATGCGGTCATCGAAGTAGACATAGTATCTGAATGCGACGGATGGGTTATCCAAGTTAGTAACCGACCGTGAGGCGTGATCTCAACGTTAGCACGTTGGGTAGACCATCACCGTCTACGTCGAGTAGGCCCCGAATCATCGACATAGATAATCTGGTTCGGCGATGAACCCACCAATAGGGAGAAGTATCATGAGATAACCTTATTCAGCTTCGTGGTTGATATGGTCCCTCAAGTAGTTGCATCAAGTCGTCCTAACATATGGAAGATGGACACTAAGGCAGTTGGTTTGCAGCCTCGACCAAAAACTCGGAAGTCTACTCCAGTTCGTCAATAGGAGAGGCATGGGCTCATTTCCATCAGTTATACAACCAAGTGGCTCAACCATTTATAGTTCCAAAGAATAAGAAGGGGCAAGTCTATCTTTGGATAAACCGAGAGACTCGATGTATGCTAAGAAAGATGTTGAAAAGCCGCCATCATTCCTGTCACAGCAAATAAGATATAGCGCTGCAGGTACGCAGGCACAATCAGAAAAAATGTGAAGGCAGTTGGTTTAATCTGCAAGCTAGCACCCGGAGACTGTTGTTGCAAATAAATCGCAGGACAATTACTCGCTACTGAATTACCAAACTAGTTACAACAGGGAGTGCATCAAAAAACAGAAATAATGTCGAAGTAATTCACGACAGATTACACCGAAGAACCTCTTATGAATTAAAGGCTGTGCCCAAACAAAAATTCACTTAATCGCCTGTTTGACTTAGACTTTGATCAAGACGATGAACTGAAGGCTCGTAGCATTTAAGACACGGGAAAATCAGCAGGGCCGGACGGACTACACCCTAAAATCTCGAGACGAATCGCATCACGGTTGTCGGTAAGGCACTTGGTCAAGGTGAGTTATCTATGAACTGAGAGGATACAATCGCAGTTTGGTACAGCATGGAAGATGAAGTGTCACATGGATTCTGTGTTATAAGGATGAACTATTGGTACAATGCAATTCGAGTGTCATACAGTTTGCGAAACAGCAAAAATGTATGTATTTTTGTTTCCATGTTACCGATCTCCAGACAGCTAATAGGATGTCCTTTATTTCAGAATGACGTTCTGTCGGAAGTAAGAAGTAAAGAGTAATTTGGAGTCATGTTCTGTATACGTATTCTGGTTTTTTCGCATATCATATAAACTTCAAACGGACTTAGATATTCCACCGAAATCATGAACCAATCAATGTTAGAACATCTTTGAAAACCTGGAACCACTGGATGGTTGTTTCGTGCTGGTGTGGGATTCTTAGACAGCGCCCGTTCGTCATCCCGCACTTGAGATTCGAACCCAGGTTGTTTGGCCTCGCGTTAACATTCAACTTGTAGGCCAGTGAACTTGTATCTAACGAACATGGATATTCTGGTTAGGTAGTCTAAAAACCAACTGATGCCTATCGGTGGGGCCATGTATGTCTACATGCACATCGGGGGATACAAAAGTAAACAGGTACAGCTTAGAGGATTCGACGCCTGTTGTTCGGCCACATGATGACCTTTGGGCTAATAATGAGCCACAGTCCTAAGCTTACTGCCAACTGCGGCGCGGTCACAGGTAAGTAGTTCGAGTACCATTGGGCTTTATGATGGACACTGAAAAGTTAGGTACTATTGCACAAATATTTATACTAATATCCGGTTTCACTCTGTATACTATTACATAAATCTAAATGTATTCATCCGAGTGCTTTAACGGATTTCTATTCTATTTTTGCAATTGCTGGTCTCCTTCTGAGGTTGATATTTATTACACAATTATTATTCTTATCATGGATCAAAACTTTTCACTAGGTGTTCACTTCTTTTCACTCCATTCTTTCCCTCTAAATAAATATTATTCTTAAGATTACGAAGTTTGTAATTAAAACAATAACTTGTGTTACGCTTAAATTAAATTCTCAGACCCGTTTTATCTTCACTATGCATATATGACTCATACATATTCATATTTTATTATCCTTTTCATTTAATTGTAACTTTCATAGCATCACTCTAAACTATAACTGCACAAACATTTATTCTAGCTTTATATCTTACTGCAATTATAAGTTATTTTTTCTTAATTATCTTTTGTTACTAATTTAACGATACACACAGTCGTTTATTCCTGTTCTGTGTTCGTAAACACGCCTACTAGACTGTTTGCGCATTTCACGTCTCCTTTATTTCTATTCCCTTATTTTCCGCATTTCCTTCTTTAGACTCAATTCAATATTCTTCTCAATTGCACAGACCCGATTTATTATTATTAATATTCTACTATTATTGCTCAAAAAATTTTTTAATGGCCAGTAGAATGCTGACATTATTGAAAATTGTGTATTATTGCATTTTTTTGAAGAAACCCGAAATGGTTTCTTCACAACACTTATGTACCCATAAGATGTTTGTGAATAATAATAATAATACGTTAGCCACATTATACACAATATTGGAAAGACCCAATTTTTAAAAAGTGAGTTCAGGCTACCAAGCCTCCACTTAAAAGATGATTCGGTTACCGTGGAAAACATATAGAGAACATCTACTGGCGCAATTACAGGACTCCGGGGTCTACTATATACAGAGCAGTTTGGGAAGCTAAACTCGCTTACTGTCCCATCATAGATTTTAAGGTGCTGACCAGAGAAATTGTTTCGAACCAGATGAATTTTCCTACTTTTCCTCCTAACAGATCAGGACAAAGCAGAGTACGTATCAGGTAAGTACAAAAGTCAAAAACTAATTAAGTACTCGTGGCGTGCAGTTTTAACACCCAGTCATCAATTCATGGAATCTTCTATCTGAATCAGTGGCGTCCGAACCTTCAGCTGACATATTCGAGAGAAGACTAGACACTCAGAAGCTTACTAAAAAAGGGCTAACACAGGCTTCAAGCACTTTGTTCACAATATACACGTTTAAAACATAAATCACAAATTTGCATATCTCGTATTTCACACCCTTTTATTGAGCTTGCACAGACTGATCGATTTCTTTACATTTCCTTTGTGTTGTTTCAGTACAGTCTCGCATCACTTATCATTAACAGTATCCGTTGACCTGGCTACCCGACTGTGGCAGTTCTAGTCACTTTGGTAGGTATTTTTGGGTTTAGGTAATTTGTCATTTGAATGATAAGTTTTGGCTCAGGACAGTAAGTTCTTCGGAATCAGCAGCTATCTCACTAGCCGGAAGTAGGTTGGTTATTTGCAGTCCGACCTTGATAAGCAAAGTATCCACATACATAAGAGGTAAGACAAGGTGACCGTGCAAAGATGAAGACAAATTCGCCAAATTTCCTGCATCAGGAAGCCTTGTATCAGGAGCAAGCTACTGTAGCGATTAATCAATGTACGCTAACCACGGTAACCTTATTGGAGACGCTTCTCAAATACAATGACGCCTCAGAGGACAGTGTTTCTGATATGCCTATGAATTGTTATGTCCCGTGTAAGTTACTGTTATTTATGGTTATCATCATCGTTGCAACCTACGCATATTGGTTGTTCTGAAAGATTTTCAGTATGTCTTGAGCAAACCCGATCTAATGAGAGTGGCTGCTCAAGAGCCTTAAGCTAGGAGAGAACGTAGTATGATCAGTTAGGTCACAGTTAATGTAAGAGGCTTGCAAAGTCCTTTGTTTTTAGAATTTATCAATCACTACAGTGTATGAGCAAAAACCCAAGAATTGACACACCAGAGGTTTGAACCCAAGAAGCATGATGGTCGTAAACACTGTTATTAGCTTATATCATCCATTAGTGTCTGATCGTGTTTTGCTACTCTAAGTAGTCGAGGGGTGCACAATAGAAAAACACAATCAAAAGTTCGGTACCCAGTTTTGGTTTTTCGTTTCCAGTAGTCTCAAAAAAGAAGGAAAAGTAAATGAAGGGATTCATTGAATATATTTTTGTCCAAGTAATCAAGCAAAATGTGTAAAAAACAGCCGGTATAGACGCGCAAATATCCTCTGTAACATGAGACAGCATAGGCTAGTAACAGCAAAATAATTCTACCCATGTGATATATCAATGAGCAAGAACTTGAATTTCTGACGTTTCGTGACCTGATGTTAGTCACTTCCCCAAGGTAGATAAATAAAAACCGAACAGAAGTGACTTTCAAAAGTAACGAAACGTCAGAAATTCAAATTCTTGCTCGTTGACATATCACAACAATAGAATTCTACTAGTTCGTATATTGCAGAAATATGATTATTTTATGAATAACTTTCCACCCAATGCTTGATTTGTCTGAAACTATTTAGTTCATTCTTATTATTGATACCTACAGCAAAAGTTGCTCTACAGGACTGTTATAACTCAAAGGCCGCCGATTATAGGACAGTGACTTATCGATCGGATCAAGGGATTCAGAATCCCAATAGACTATTCTGGTCTGTTGTACCCGACTCAGCTAACGCGATCAAGAAGTCTGGGTGAGGCGTAGAAAGTGCCTTCTACAGGCAAACAGCACATATCAAGTCAGGTCAAGTACACAAGTCAAGCGTGTTTATACAAATATTTAC